TTAAAACAACAATTACAATATATATCGCACACCTCCTACGTAACACACACACACACACAGATACAATCTGAAGAGTGTGGAAGCAGTCCTGTCGCACCTGCAGCCTGCCGTCTAGCGTTCTCTGTATGGTCACACATTTGCTGGGATGAGCGCCGTTGGTGGTGATGGCGGTGATGAGCGAATCCAGCTCGTCTTTCTTCTCCTTCAGTTTCTTCACCAGACTCTCAATGGCCCGCTTGGCGAAGGTCTCGCTCTCGCCGCCCTGTCTGTGACACATCAGACTGTGCACGATGCTCAGACAGGCGTCGTTACTGGTGGGTGTGTTTGTGATGGACATCCTGCGCTGGTTATCGGCCTCAGAGAGGCTCCCGTGTGCCGCTAATAACTCGTTTCAGCAATACACTGGCGCCAGTGAAGGGTCCATCCAAACGGCCCCTGCGGATGGATTGAGATTGATAATGTTAACGAGTGATTGAGGGGTTTCCCTCAATCATATTGCATGCTTTTATAGAAAAAAAATATCTGAAATGAGTTGATATTATGGAAACCTGTTTCCGCCACCACGGGATAAAAAATAAAAAAGGTAATTGCAACTTTATATTTCACAATTCTGCCTTTTTTTTCATGCAATTCAAAGTTTATCTCTCGCAATTCTGCCTTTTTTCCTTGCAACTGCGAGTTTGCATCTTGGAATTCGGACTACTTTTCTCAGCACCGTTAGAAAAACTCACAATTGAGAGTTACAAGTTCAGTTCTGAGGAACAAAGTTCAACTCACAATTCTAACATTTTCTCAAGAGTTTGTATCATGCAATTCTCACTTTATAACTCACACAATTGTGAAAAAAGAAGTCAGAATTGTTAGATAAAGTCACAACTAGCTTTTTTTTATTTTTAATTCAGTGGCTGCAACAAGCTACCATCATATATGTATATGGAAAACACGTGTGTGTGTGTGTGTCTATATATATATATATGTATGTGTGTGTGGAAAAAAACAAAAAACGTATATATAATATAAAGACACATTATATATTAAAATGTAAATAAAATATGTAAAAATACTAATGTAAAATGTACAATTATAATACATTAAAAATGTACACATTATTTATATTAAAAGCATTATATCATATAAAAATGCGATTTATATTACGTCAGAACATCAATTTCATATTCGGATATTGGTTTTAGTAAAGCTAACACCTGAAGGTGTTTAAAGCAAATATAAGCACCTAAATAAATCTCTAGAGCTGAAGTGAACGAGTTTAAAAAGCGTCTCACACCACAATAATCCTTCACACACTTGATTTCAGACAAGCTGCGAAGACTTATAAAGGTGAGCAGAACTCATGAATGTGATGAGTGATGAGCTGAAGTGAATGTAAACAACGTGAGATCCGCGTGTTAGCATAACATGCTAATGCTAGCACACAAGCGGCTGTTGATTCAGATTTTAACTTATGATATAGATAAATAAAACACATTTAAATGTGGAAATTTGTATTGAAATGACATACCTGTTATGTCTCCTGTGAATGAATCTCTTTATCTGTCCAGTTTTGGTGGTTTTGATGTGAATCTTGTTAGCGGCTAACCGCGCGTAACTCACTTCAGCCGGACTACGCGTTCCGCTGATATCTACAACGATTTAAAGCGACTACAGACTTTTGAGCGAGAACTCGGTTAGACGTGATTTGGCACAATATATTATTAAGAGGAGGGCAAAAGCAGTCACTGCGCTCAACAAAAACAAACAATGTTGCCGCGACGGTCTCGACGCACCACCTCACGCCCTGCTGCGCAATATGGAGAACTGCGCATGCGCACTGCACTGAGTCCGGCTGCGCCTCAAAACACACCGAGCTGACTGTGTATACACACACCTATATGTATGTATACACCTGTTTGGGCATCAGCGGCACATTCCAAGTCAGCGAGATTTTTGTCAACATTTGGCACATATACTGTCATGTATAAAGACACAATTAATACTGTAAAACTGCATC